ATTGGAGGATGAAAGGAGTAGAACATAAGTTTTTTTTGGTGGGAAGATTACATACGGAGCGTAGTTTTAATGCAGAAGCTTTGATTGAAATGATGCGGTTGATGTGGAAACCGATTGGGAAGTTTGAAGGTATTCTATGGGCTAAACAGCTGATTCTATTTCAATTTTCAAATGAAAAGGATTTGCATCGTGTACAGAGGGGAGCTCCATGGCTATTTGAGCAGGCTGTACTGTGTTTAAAGCAAATTCAGGGAAATGAATATCCCAATTCCATTACTTGTATCCAAACAGAAATATGGGGTCGGATATATGCATTGCCTCCAAAATTCATGACAGAATCAGTAGCCAGACGTTGTGGCATCAAAATGGGACATGTGATTACAGTAGATAACACTACTATAAATAGGCTCTCACCATTTTTACGAGTCCGAGTAGCAATTGACGTTACTAAACCTATTCCTAGAGGCACTTTCATTAAAGTAATAGGGTCACAATTCTGGGTACCTTTCCGCTATGAAAGATTACCACCTTTTTGTTTCTATTGTGGATGTTTGGGCCATACACGAAGATTATGTAGCCTATGGGATGAATCAAATGAAGGAGAAATGAGTAAGACTCATTATTCTGATGATTTGCGCGTTTCAACATTTGGGGTTAATAGGGTGACCATTTCCTCCAAGGTGCAATATGGAGATTTTGAGTGTACAGAAAAGCTAATGGGGGTTACAGAAGGTAATCATCAAGGCATAGTAAATGAAATAACACATGAAGGAAAGGAGGAGGGTCAATCAAAAAATCCTGACTTTTTTGCAATTGCTTCACAAAAAATTAAAGAAGTGATGCTCAATTCTGTAGAGAGTTCAAAGGAAGGAAAAGAACAATTACAAGAGAGCCGGAGTGAGAAAGGTGATGGGCTTTCACGAAATGAGCCAAATCAAGTTAATAATCAGGTTCAGGACCCATGTATAAATGAATCTTTTGTTGAGCTACTAAAGGCCCAATCAAATATGGGCTTGTCCAAAGCTCTTCCGAATGAAGGTTTACCAAGTAATGACAACCTAGTCCATGATGCACAATGCATGAAGAATAACCTAGGAATGTGTTCGAGCTCAACTATTGGTGAAGGTTTAACTTCACATTTCTTGGTCGATAGTGGAACCCAATTAGTTGAGAAGACAATAGCGGCTGTAGTATCATCTCAAAAACGGCGTGGTTGGCGAAGGAAAGAGAGGAACAATGGCACTACAGAATCTTCATCGGGATCAGAGTTGGGAAAGCTCGTGATAGAAAAATCGGGAGGACTAGAAATTGATGGTGATGAAGAAATAAATGATGAGTCCGCAAGGAAGAAAAGGCTGAAGAATAGTTAGGATAGACATGGGATGAATAAAACTGAAGCAATAAAAGTCGTTCAATAATCTAGTCAATAGCCATGAATTTGCTATGTTATAGTCGTCAGTGCTTAGGAAGGACCATAAAAATATGAGGTCGATTAGATCTCTTTTTCCCTCTTTCATATTTCTATTTGATTTTTTTTTTTTAAATATTGAAATGGAAGTTGTAAAAGATTAGTTGCATAATTTTTTCAATGTTGGATGTAGATTATACTTCTTCTTCTGCCAATAGAGCTAAATAATTATGCCTTATTTAGAACAATAAAATTACTTTAGAAGTTAATTTTTTTTTTCTCATCATGTATTGATATGGTGTTAACACTTATAGATGGTAGAGTGTGACATTTCATGGGTATGTATAGATAGTGAAAACTTATTATCAATTTGAAACATGAAAATTACTTTAAACTTTGAACTATTAAATTTTATGCCTTGGATAATAGATAGCAATATTAATGATATGCTATTCTTGAAAGATAAGAAGGACAACATACAATAGGAAATTGATAAGCTTTAGGCTAATCGGGCTATTCCATAATATCGTGGGTTGTTTGATATGAGGTTCTGTAACTACATGAATACATGAAATAATGTGATGAAGGAGGTAATAAATTTTCATATTAGACTACATCACTTTTTATCCATCTATAATCTCTTTACCACGAGTCTATAACGAGACATCTTTTCCAACATGAATCACACCATTCTACAATGATACTATATTATATGAGGAATGATTGTTGGATAGACAAATAAGTTAAGTTATTTTTGTTCTAAGCAATCTTCTGCAAGAGAGTGCTTGTCGAGAAGTTATTGAGACTTTCTAAGGGAAAATTCAAGATTGTTTAGAGGATAAAATACAAAGTGTGTGGTCAGTTAAGGAAGTTAATAAAAATAAATAAGTTCAAGACTGAGACGATTGAATTATAAGAAATTTGATAAATGCATTCCCTTATATTATCTTTTCGTCAATTATTAGATTTTGAGATGTTTGATTCTCGTGTACAAAAATTAATAAGGTTTATGTTCTTTTTATGGGATGCATAGGGGATAGGAAAACTGTAACACCTAACCTTTTTTTTCTTTTTATTAATTATTATTGTATGAATATAATTATTATTTATATAATTTTATATTGAATTTAATTTAGTTTAATTTATTTTAATAATAATAATAATAATAAGGGGTAAAAATTATTTATGGATTTAATTGAAAATAATTTTGGAAAAAATGGGTAAAAATTTGGGTTCTGGGATATTTTTGAAAGAAAAATAAAAAATCAGAGGTTAAAACACAATTTAAAAAAGTTGTGCCACGTCAGTTGCCCGGTCAGCAGCCCCGACCAACCAGGACGCTCTAAGTGGTAGAGACGCTGACGCGGGAGAGAGCCACGTGAGCGATCCGCGTGCGCGCGATCAAACAACTGATATCCGTTCCTACACGCACAGACGGCCCAGATTGCATCGCGCACGGACGGTCCAGATTGAATCGCGCACTGACGGTCCAGATTGAATCGCGATGAACGGTCCAAATTCAGTCCATATTTAATCGCGATCGGACGGTCCAGATTAAAAGCAATGGATGGCTCATATCAAAAGCGGATGGGTATAAATAACCTCATCTGCACATAAACTGTAACCCTAGCCGCCAGAGTCCCTCGCCAGAGAAGACAGCCCAGCCTCCGGGGAGCCGACCGCCGTCACCCGCCGCCATACCGGAGCAATTTCTGGCTGCCATTTGCAGGTTGAGATGCTTCTGTACCGGAGCAAATTCTTTGCTCAGAATTTGATTCTAAACCCACATGGCCAAATCGGAGCGAAAGCCTCGACCAATTGGCTGGAAAACGCCGCCGAAGCCCAGCGGTGCCGCCACGGGGTGTCTCGATTTTTGCCTCCAATGAGACCATTTCTGATTCCCATTCGATGTGATTTTTCCACCGTTGTGATCACCGTTTCCTCCTCTACAGGTTGACTGGAGCAGAACACCCAACTGCGACGTGAGCCGAAGGAGCCGTCGTACTAGAGAGCCCCACTACCGGTAAGTTTCAGTTTTCTGTACTTTTTCGGTCCACCGAGGATCCTAAGTGTGTTTTCTCACAGGAACCAATGCAAGTTTGGCTGAATTCGGTCGGAAACGACCGAAAACTGCCAACCCGAGGCAGATTGCCGCTGCTTTCGGCGACGCTGTCGCCAGAACACGACGGAGCCACCGTGCATGAATTTTAAAATTGGCCGAGTAGGCTCTAGATATGATTTTTGGGTTATTTGGGACATGTGTAGGTACCGTAAGCGCGTTTCAGTTCCCGAAAAAAAATTCAAGGAACCTAGGGACCGCCCGTAGGTGCAATGAAAATCTAGTTTTCGATGTCAAATCAAGTAAGGACTCTTCACCCTATTTCCTATCATGGAATTGAAGTCTGAATAAATGATAATACCATATTTTATACAAATCAAATAGATATGCATAATTAATTACAGTTGCTAATGGAGCCCGAACCGGACATATTTTTTGTCAATTCCTGTTTGATTTATTTTACAGTTTAAATGCATTATGATATCTGGTTTATTTATTCTATGGTTTGAATGCATGTATCACTGGTTACTTCACTACTATTTGATTTTGGGAATCTAAGATATGCTTGCCTTGTTAGATGCACGTTACTTGTTTATGTATTCATGTTTGAGTTGGTAACAGAGACTAAAGACAAATAGGAATGGGATGAGATTTGATAAATGGATAAGATGACAGCCTCACTAGATATCCTAGGATATGGTAGACAGACCGAGTTCATAGAGAATCTACCGTGAACGTTGTCTCATACCAGACGGAGTATGGAGACTTGGTCATTTGGCGCCCATACCGGACGGAGTCACCCTCATATCGGACAGGGTATTGAGGTTTATTATTTTGGCGCTCATACCGAACGTGGTATGGAGACGGCCCTGGAATTAAGTTTGTTAAGGAGAATGGTTCACGTGTAGCGGGAACCCCTGTGGATCCTCATTGATACTAGTAGGCTGATAAAAAAGGGCAATTGTTGTTTGATGATTTAAATATAAAAGTATTATATGTGTTATATTACAGATTATATATGAATTTATGAAATTTATAATGTTATTATTTCCATAAGTTGTTTTTATAAATCTCACTACGGTAAGTGGACGGTAAATGTTTTGATTATTGATAAATAAATTTGTTTAAAATTTGTGCTCCATTGGTCGTTTTTGGTTTTATACCAACCTTTACTTCTGTGACGATGATATAGTGTGATGTCCTTACTGGGTTAGTGTAGATCGTTCCTTATTTAACCATTTCAGATAAGGAGGACCTGATTCCCGAGCCCGATCCACAAGAAGACGGCGAGTAGATGCTAGATATTTTATAGTTTTCTTTATTTTTCTCATTTCTCGTATTTCCTTTAGAGAACTTATTCTGTGATATTGTTTAGTACTTTTAAGTTATTGTGTAAGGGATGTTAACTTTAATATTTTATTTCGCTTCCGCACTCACATTATTATATGTATTTTCTTTTAAATTTTCGGAGCCGTTACAAAAAAAATGGGCTCACCTACCCAAATGGTCGTTTATCTAACATTGATTTAGAAGTATCATATACTTATTTATGAGCTAAATTCTATTTAAAATGAGTTCAGTATAGATTGAAACACTTTTACCTCATTATGAGACATTAGAAATTATGAGCTACTTGCAATAAGATGTGGTTAAAAAAGATTGTGATGCTTCATTTGGAGAAGAATGGACAAGGTTAGAAATTACTGTTGAGACTAAAATGGTGGTATCTGCTTCCTAGGTGTGAAATACATCCAATACCATGTTCAGGAGATATAAAAATTTTAGCCTTTTTTTGTGAAGAGAAGTTCCATTGTCATGTAGCATAATAATTGTAATAATGGAAGGGATTAGAAGTTAATCTGACAAATGGTTAAATATTAACTTATAGAGTTTTATAAAGACCTAATACTATTGTCATATTTATAATATTTATAATCTATAATTATAATTAGATATGTTTAAAAAAATTTAAGAATATAAGCTTTTCATTGATTTTAGTAAATTAAATGTTTACTCATATTTATTATTTTTTTATATATATTTATCAAATGAGAACCAAAATACGTGGGTTTTTTTTTTCCCTTAAATTTAAGGAGAAATTAACAAAATAAAAAATTATAATTAATGAAAATTCATGTAAGAAAATACTTTTTTAATAAAAATATATAGATTTCATCCTTTATATAATACATACGCACTAATTATAAAACAGTTATTGAATAGAGGCATACCAAAACATACAACATAATACAATAAAAAAAATTACTAAAGGTCCATGCAATAAACAAATAATTAGTGTGCGACTAAATATCTTAAACTGGTTTAAAATTTTAAGACGGTTCATGTGCATAGGCATGTTTGATATGTATAGTTGATGTTGAATTTGGAGGGTGTGATAATGAAGGGTAAGGCATGCGTCCTGGAAGGGAAATCATTGAACCTCCTTTACCGATACTGTAAACCCTTTTTTTTTTTTCCTAATTATTCACTCTCCTATTCATATAATACAGTAATACATATCTGGGTAAATTATATATTCAAGCCAAATTTTATTTTTAATTTAAAAAAAAAAAAAAAGTATACAGTCACGCCAAAATTTTTAATTAATAATTACAAATTATTTGTCAGGTACCGGTCGAGTAGTGTGTCACTAGTATATTTTAAGTAAACAAAAAGATGGAATATTAAATTTCGATTCACGTGTTTTAAAAAATAGAGATGAAAAGAAAAGATGAATATCAAACCTGGAACCAAAATATAATGTAAGTGAAAAAGATTAATTAATTATGAATTGCTACATACTGGACAATGTGTAAGACGATTGCTGTTCTCTAACAAGACACTGGCGATTGCTATTGGTTCTAATTTTGTTGGTGTTCAATATATGTATGTATATATATATATATATATATAATCATTGTAAATGAGCTAGGTATATATAGCTGGAAAGAGATGAAATTTTTTAATATTTTCGAAAATGGTCCCAATTGGCAATTGCTGACACTTTTGTATAATATACATATATATATATATATATATATATATGTTGAGTGTCCAAAAAGAAAGCTACCCAGTATGGAATTTGGAGCTCATTCCATGCAATGTGAGGAGAGGAGAGATAAGAGTGAAAGCCAAATAAAAATGAAAATTAGAAAAAGAAAAGAGGAATAAATAGTAAAAGCTTTTACTTGTGTGATGCGATTTCGAAAAATGGCAAAAGCAAGCAGATCATCCATCCACCCACATGCAATTAAAGGTTTCTTTATGTTCCACTCAATATTAATGGTGATAACCAACACATACAGTCGATTTGTAATATATATATATATATATATGTATATATATGTATATGTATGTATATACTGTTTTGATGTTTGCAAGCAACAATTAATCAACAATTGATGGGTAGTTAATGGTCCTTAAATATCTAAAGATGCATGCTTAGTTTATACTTTAGATTGATTAATTAATTAATTAGATACATCACCCAAGAAGATCTAAAAGCACATAGCTTATCGTTATAGTTCTATACACACGCACACACATTTATTTATAACTTTAAGCTGGTGACGCCAGTGCTCGCCGCTTTGTGAGTAGTTGCTTTTGGCGGCACGATCAGCAGCTCACATGACATATAATAAGTAAGTGGACCGGACCGTTGGTGGAATGTATACATATATGTATAATATTAAAAATATTTAAAAAAAAAAACTGTAAAGGATGCAACCAAAATCTGAAAAACCAGCACACTTGGCTGAAAGGCATCAGAAAAAAATAAATAAGTAGAAGAATACACGGGCAAGTACATCACCAAATTATGATTCTATCAAGACAAACTGCATTAATATATTGAAAATTTTCATATTCAATTACAGTAATTATATATATTAACTTCAATAACTTTCAACAAATTCCTTTTTGTAACTTGGAAAACTTTGGAGAAATAGTAACATTACAGAATATTTTTCTTCCAAGAAATATGCATACATCAATGTAAAATGAAAAAATACATTAAGACAAATCTACTAAACATCACATGTTGCAAATCCCATTTGATTTTATATTTTAATCATGAACTTAACAATTTTAATCATGAATATAAAATTTGCAAGAAGCTGTATGTTTACAAGAATTTTTACAATAGATAAAAATAAAAAATAAAAAATATGTACATTTTTATGTACCAAAGTAAAAATTGTCTAAATGTTTTACACCTATCGTACGATTTTTTTTTTTTCACACTCTCAATTCAACGTAATATATACTGGATTTTGTACAAGTTAATAGCAGAAACTGCCTCATTAGCATCAAAACAATAATAACAAAAACAATAATTGGATTAAACGGCACCAGGCTATTAAAATTGTTGGATCATCTGCCCTCTCTCCATCACCATTAAAGGACCTCGGAATTGCTAACCGGACCAGTACTGAATACTAAGTACGTTCTACAGCTTACAGTATTTTCTGCATGGTATCGTCAAATGCCATACACATTTACAAATGTGAATCTAACATTCTTATGATACGATAATAGCAAAATTCACACACATATAGTTCATACTCATAATTTCTCAATTTTTTTTTTCTTCATTCGAAATAAAATATACAGTCAAGTATGTGTCAATCTTAGTAGATTACCAAAAGTAAAAAAACCATCTACCAGATTATTAGTATGGGAGGAATTATCCGTCTCTTTATCATCCATGACGATTTGAAACACTGGCAAGATCGTAATGAATAGCTATCTTAAGCTTTTGTCATATAACTTTGCTAAGACATGCAGAGGTCCCAAAAGCTAAGAGCCTAACGAGAAAGGATAGGTCACATTCCTTGCCTGCTGTAGGCGTGGTCCATGCTCCATATGTGTGTGTGCATATATATTCACTCTCAAAAAAATGGACCCAAGTCACACGGGTCCGGGAAACACAAAAATCATTAACTTGCATACTTATATAGACGGCTTAACATGTTAGAAAACACAAGCAAGACATTATCAGGATTTGAGAAATACATAAAACGACCTAGATAATGATTGCGAAGACTTGATTTTCTCTGGGTTGGTGAGGTTGATCAACGTATAGTTGCTATTGAGCTTTGCCAGCTCTTTCAAGAAACATATTCAAACCTATACACTAACTAAAAAATCATCCATAAACATTTTAAATACAAGGATAAAATGGAGTGAGGGAACTTAATGCTATGTAAAAAGTAAGAACAGGCACTTAAATGCTATGTAAAAAGGAAGAAAGAGGCAATATAGTTAATAATCAATACATTAAACAGCCCAGTGAGACAGAGCAGTCTGAGGTCAACATCAGTCTCATGGAAACAAAAATGCAGTCTTATCTGTATCAGTGCTCTGAGTTCTTTGGTAACTACTACCAGCAACAGCATTGTTAGCGTGCAGAGAGCAATAATAGGTGAAAGTTACAACATTCTAACAATCTCAACTACTAAATCTCTTACAGCCAACAACCTCTAGGGCATTTTGGCATTGGAAACTGACAACTCTGTTGTGGGGCAACATGTGTGCCTGTCTGGTCTGCTAGATGAGACCTATCTTTTGCTATGCCCATGGAACAGTAATGGATCAGCAATGGCTAAGATAGTTGCAACGAGAAACTCAGCTCTCATTGATTATCTGTTTGTCTATCCTTCTACTTGTCTCTCAAATAATTCTTAGTTTTATCCAATATGGTCATTTCTTACAATCTATAATAGATTACATATTTTTATAAGAATTGACCTGGATCAACAGTTTTAAAATAATCATCTAAAAAACAAGGCTAAATTTCATGGAAGTCCTCCAGATTTTGGTATAATAATAACTAGATTCATTCTATGTATAACAAATATATGAAGCAATTTCAGTTTAGTTTCTTACTAATCATCAACTGATAGTTAAATATGTATTACATGTCGATCACATGCCTGAAGTTATGGAAACAGTAAGAAAACAAATAATTCTGCTTCAAAAAAGCATGAAAAGATAGACTATAGTTTATTCAATAAAGAAATAGCATCTGTAAGAGTATAAAAACTGAAACTGTGAATATAAACATATCACGTAAGTGCCTAGTAAAAAATATTGTTTATACTTGTGGAAAAACTTGACTGTTAGTTTAAAAATGAAGCTTAATTCTACCAAATTATTAAAGACACTTATATAATAAACATCAATAACAATAATCATAATCAAGACAATGATGATGATGACAATATCGATGATAATGTCTACTGACCAACTGTAAATCACAAGTTCATCAATATTTTTTTCCCATGAAGTTGGGATGATAGATATTCATGTGGTGACCCAACAAGGAAAATGTTGATAAAATGAGTTAATAAAAAAATTATTCAATCTGGGGCAGGATTGGGTAGGAAAATGGACCAAAATTTACAATCGTCCAGATCTAGACCCGTAAATCTCTGTTATATGCTATGTAATTTTTCAGTTGGACAGCCACGATAGACCTTGGCCCAATAAGGGGGTGATCACATATCAATTAGATTAAGACTAGTTCCTTTTCTTGTTTGGGGCGGCAACTGACTAGTTCAATTTTCATACCATTATCACTTAATTCTCAACTTCAATTTTTATATTGGTCTTACTGCATAGATCTAGAACATGTTTTATATTTGATTTTATCCTAACACCGTATTCAAGAATTAAATTCCCACTTCAATTCATAAGAATAAATTCCCATCCACAAAAATTCAAAATAGAAATAAAGATAAAATTATACAAATTATGTTTTAATTCCACATGCCAATCTTAATGAGAAAACTAGAGGCAGAAATTACGTAAAAGTAGAGCGAAATTCAAACCAAACCTTACTAGTTGAATTTTTTAAGTTTACAATGCAAAATGTTTTAAATTTCACAATTGCAAACATACAAAGCTCACATCTAATCTGCACTTTTAAGAAAGTAAAATTTATTCCTGGTAACTGTAACAATGGGAGAAGGGGATAATAGTTTAATGGTAAAAACAAAAAATTCTGGGAACCAATTAATTCAGAGTTTGGGATCTCGGACACCAAGGAGAATCATCATTGCAGAGAACAAAGAATATGTCGTTAGCATTTTTGAACAATAAGTTTTAAACGATTAAGATTACAAGAAATGGTCCAATCAATAATTTACAATCCATTACTTACCTGCACATCGCTAGGTTGAAAGTATGTGAAGACTAAATCTCTTAACTCTTATAAAATGAGAAATAATAAATTAAATTACTAATTATCGCAAAATATTAAATTAATGCAAAATGCTGAAATCTATGATATGTACTCTACAACTATTTACTACCCCTAATGGAATAGAAGTGTTAAGAAACGATTAGTCAAATAAGTCGAGCATGTCGCAGTATTAACCACTATCAAGATTCAGGCCAGGCACTAACACAATAACCACAAATAAGGAGGATTGTATTTGTTTAGCGTGTAACATTCAGCCTGCTTATTTATGAGAATCTTTGATATAATAAGCAGTCCGTACATTACTTATAATAATAAAAAAAAAGGCAGCCTGCATTAGTATGATGTGGCAGGACATGTATGCTTCACCTCCAATAAACTCGTTAACTTTTTTAGTATCCGTATCAATTTATACAAGTTTTAGTAAAAAAAAACTGTACATTTACCATCAACACCCTCTAATCTGACTCACAACCCACCCTTCACACACTCATATGTTAGAAGTAATGGAAAATGAAGCACAAGTGTGAGATTCCTATGTAATGGAAAGGGAACAACATTACCTAAGTGTCCTCAGATGTATGTGCACTGATATGTTGAGCCAAAAAATTTTTAAAAAATAAAAATAAATTAAAAAAAAGGATGAACTCATAAAAAAAGAACGATAATTTACTGAAGGAAGAAGGATGAACTCAATTCAGTAACAAGGCAGAAATCAAACAATCCAAGGAAAAGAGAACACCATTTACTGAAAGAAAGGAAAAGATTAAATTTAAGGGGGAAAAAAAACAGGATAACAAATATCTCAAAAGTTTAAAATGAACCAATCACGGTTCTAGTTTCTAAATCTATGTCGGTTTCTAAATCTATGCCAACGGATTGCTTGTAGGTTAGTACCATTTTTCAAAAATCTTCACCTTTTTACCAGAGAATTTTAAAAGAGTGAAATGAATAAATTGGGTGACCCAGATGAGCGAGGAGATTCCATAATTATTTCTTCATTTATATTTATTATCCCTCCTGATGAAAGAAGCTTACATACCTCGGCTGAGTTTTTGCCATGAAGGTTTGAGGACCCTTGAGAAAGAAACTATCAGAGTTACTTTCTGGAAACTTAGAGTTCAGGGAAGTAACATCCTTTAACCCACCCGTTAAATGGAGTCCAGATAAATGATCACCCCAGATATCATATACATATTCATTCCCCACCCTTGCCTTCTCTTCTGTTTGAACTGCTTTCTGCTTGAAGAGGTTGGAACCCGGAGCACGAGCATGAGGAGCAACTGTAGATGTTGAGGCCAAAGGAGAAGTGCATTGAATCCTTGGGACAGGCCTACTTGCACAAGGAAAAGATGGAGGAGGCAACAAAACCAGCTTAGAAGCACTTCGTCCGGGGGCTGAAGACTGCTCCTGAGTATAAAAATGATTTGTGTTACTGCAGTGCTTTCCAGGGACATTGTGTTCCACCATATGTGCCCCTGAATCCGATAGAGAGACTTGCACCTCCTTCAAAGGCCGGTCAGACACTCGAGCAAATGGATTTCTAGCTTCAACAGACTGGTTGGCATCAGGAGATGGTGGCCATGTAGAGTTTGTCGTCATATACATGACTGGGGACAAAGGAGATGAAGGAGTTGAATTTCCACTTTGACTACTAGATAAGTCAAACAGAGCTGTTAATCCAGTAACTGCACCCTTTCTCTTCCTTCTCCTTCTTCCCTTCTCTTTTCCAATCCTGACCGTGAGATTTGCAGGTTGAGACGCTTCCGTTGCACCAGAATCATTAACTGTTGCACATTTAGAGAATGATGATAAAGAATTTCCAGTTTGAGTATCTGGCAAACTATTAATTCCTCTCTGATTTTCTAAAGGTCGTACTGCAAGTGGAGAAGCTAGCTGAGGCTCTGGAGCAACATTTTCATTATCAGGATATCCATTACCAGAGGCATGCTTTGAGGATTTCCCTCCCCCAATTGATCTCAAAAGGCAGCCTATTTCAGCAGACACAGAAAATTTGCTGTTTTTCTGGTTGCAAGGTAAATGAAAACTTTTACCAGAATTGCTGATTGTGCAAATGGAGATTTTCTCCTTATCAAAGCAATCCTGGGAGCCCATTGCCGTCACTTGTGGAAATATGCAACAAACTACCAGGAAAATTAAAGAAGCAACCAAAAGAATGGCTACAGAGAATTTCTTCAATCGCATCCAGAAAACTGTCTTTTTACAGATATTGAGCACATTAAAAGGAAGACTTGCCTTCATAGGTATGATAAGTATACCACTAGCCAGGGCAAGTTCAAGATCTCTATGTACCATAGCAGCCAAAGAATCAGTCTGGTATGATATTAGAAGCTTGGTTGATTCTCCAGGTTTGAGAGAAAATCCTTTACAACTATGCACCATAAACCCATCTAGTCCACACTTTGCCCCAGAGACCTTAATACTTCTCACCTCAATTGGCAAATCTCCCACGTTCTTGGCATGTATCTCTTTAGACAGACGCTGAGAGCAAGCAAAAGCAGTCTCTTCTGTGTGAAAAAACATATCAAGTGGAGAAATATTAAGAGGGATTGACATGCTGAGGTTAAAGCCTATGCTCTGGACAGGCTCAGAACCATCAAACAAGACCAAAGAATGTGACCCTCCAAAACCCCTCAAAGGTAACCACTCCACACCAGAAAGGTTATTTCTAATCAGAACTGAACTTCTCCACCCACATGGATTTGAAGGACTAAAGAATACAGGGCCTAAAGATGCTTCACCATAAGGCTGGACATAGGCTTCGGTCACTGCACTCTCTGCTACTGAGAACCCGTAACTTTTTGGTGCAGCGGGTTCCATATAAACCAAACTGCCAGAAGGAGCCTGCATATCCCTGCACTCCTCAATAATTTCTCCCGAGTTAAGAATGAGCTGCATCACAACTGGCTGTCCGCTAGGATTTCTTACAGTGATCCACTTGGAGCTATGAGTTCCAATCTGAACCATTGGAAACAACAATTCTTGGTCATCGAGCACTGACATACCATTTGTAGTGCCTAGAGATTTCCAGTTTCTCAGAACCATTTCATCTGCTTCTTCTGTCTCAAATGCCTGCAACAATAAGGCATTAGAAACATCTAATTCTCATATGATATAATCTTTAGTCTTTAGGGAACCACCCTACATATCTACAAGGCCATGCTTATGCAGTACAGCTTAATATGTAAGTGAAAGCGGAAGATGCAGCATCTGAGCTTAGCAGTTTGCTTATACTCTCCACAAGAGAGGCCTTGGAAGGACAAAGTACTTCAGACATAAGAAGAAACAGAATAATATGATGCTTCATTAGGAGATGAATGGACAAGGTTAAGAATTACTGTCTGGGACTAAAATGGTGGTATTAGCTTCATAGGTATGAAACAGAATCCAATACCATGTTCCATGAAGATAATGGAAATTTTAGCTCTTATTTTCTGAAAAGAAGTTCCATTGTCATGTACTAGTGAAAGGGTTCGACGTTAATCCGAACTTAGCAGTTTGCTTATACTCTCTGCAAGAGAGACCTTGGAAGGACAAAGTGCTTCAGACGTGAGAAGAAACAGAATAATAAAAGAAAAGGCAATACTGGAATAAAGGGAAAATTATCATATCATAATGAGACAACATTCTCATTGCAATCATCAAGGTTATTGCTACATCCAAACTAGGCTATCTTCAAAAAGCATCAAGCATTTCTTTTATGCACTATTACCAACATAAAACCCAAAGACTTAAAAGTATGAACCAACAACAGTGCTACAAGGAAGATGAACTATCTGGTTTCTTCCTTCTTCCCATTTTGATAGGAGACAATATTGACAAATATCAGTTTAATCCAGAAGTAGTTAGTAAAACAGTATAAACCCTATATTGTAAGATTCTAGGAAGACTGACAAAAGAGTCCTCTAAACTTACAATAGTTGACACTTTTGTCCTCTTCTTTCACAGAAAAAATTAAGAAAATCCATTTCTTTTATAACTTTTGATGCAAATGAAAAACCACAGACCCAAAGTAACGGTAAGTAGCACTCTCTTTTCTCCTGAAATTATTTACAGCTTATTTAACTTCAGCATTAATCACGACCTTTACTTCTCGAAAATCCAAAAGTTATATATTAAAATGAGGGTAAAGCTTTTGGGAAGGTCTTTGATGTTCTAATTGAGATATAAATATTTTGTACATGGGTGACATATACTATACACATTCTTTTTGGTTCAAAAAAATGACAGGTAAAGCTTTAGGGTTGTCTTTTTTTTTAAAAAAAAAAAAAGAGTATAGTATGTAGATTAATATAGACACCGAGGAGGTGCAAACCCATATACAAAAAAATTTACATATTAGTTAGCATATTAATTAATTCTCCTGGATTTTCCATGGAATACAATGGTTGGTTTATTACCAAAAAAAATAAAAGGTTTGCAACCATCTTTCTCTAATTCTATGAAGACCCTCCTCCACTCCCTCAAAAATTCTCATATTCATTTCTTTCGACACAACCGAAAAAACTGCCAATGGAATAAGCCCCATATGTTTTTTGACTCGTAATATCTTTCCAAGCCCAAACCTCCTCGTTAACAGTTGTAGCCATGACCCATTTGTATCCCTGAATTCCAACAGTCATAAATCAAAACTATATGTGGTGGGACACCAAAGTAGAATATGGTCACAAGTCTCCTCCACTCTCTTACATAAACAATGCCAATTAACTTTTTTTTTTTAAATAAAACAACACCAATTAACCATCATGTTCCCTATGGTCAAATACTTGTATAAAATCCCCATAATGAATTTCCCCATTGCACTAAAGGTCTATACTAGCTGGTCATAATCCTCATTTAGCTAAACCCATGTCAAAGAGCTCCAAAGAGATTCATATTCGTCCATTTCCCAGTCGTTGAGATTCCGCACGACCTCTACATGCCACTTCTTGCGTCCCCAGCTTTAGTGAAAGCCTCTCTAATGTATCGTACAATTGCAAAAATCCATAAAAATCTAACTCCCATAGCCTCTCCATTAAGCCAAATGTCCTACCATAAACTAATAATCTCTCCATCTCCAATTCTCTACTTAATACACTCCTGAAATTTTGCCTTTCACATGCAAATCCTCTTCCACAACCCTTTCCCATGTGGCCTAACCAACACTATGGAATACCGCCATCTATCTACTATACCAAACTTCGACTCAATAATTCTTCTCCATAAAATGTCAATTTCTTTCATAAAACGCCACATCCACTTCCCCTGAAGAACCTGATTCATATCAACAACATATCTCAATCCCAACCCACCCTGGTTCAATGGTCTTTTGGTCGGATCTCAAACTACCAAGTGGTATTTCATTCTCTCCATTGAATCACCCCACAAGAATTCGTATTGAATCATTTCCAATTTCGTAGCGACATTCACTTGGATTGATAATAGGGACATATACTAGACAAGAAGATTGGGCAGTGCACATTTAATGAGTGTTAGTTGACCACCTTTGGCTAGTAAATTTCTCTTCCACCCTGCAAGTCTCCTCTCAAATCTAGCAATAATAGGATCTCAAATCCTCATATCTTTGTAGTTAGCATCCAGTGGCACGCCCAAATATTTGACCGGTAGGTCCACAACTTTGCAGCCTAAAGCTTTTGCTAATCTTCTAATGTTACTCCCATTCTCCAACCTTATCATCTCATACTTCACAAGATTTATATTGAGGCCAGAAACAACTTAGAAACAGAGCAGAACACATCTAAGGTTTAGTAGTGATCTCTCTTCCAGTTGACAAAATAACAAAATGTCATTGGCAAAAAATAAATATGTTATTTCCTCTGTCATCTCTCCTTCACCCATCTTGAGTCCACTAAACAAACCCAGCTCCCTACTTCTCGTTAACAACTTATTCACTCCTTCCATTACAATCATAAACAATAGGGGAGAAATCAGATCTCTTTACCTTATGCCTCAAGATACTTCTTGAAAAAAAAAACAATAGACTACCATTCATCATAACCGGAAAAGAAGTTTTAATGATGCAAGTATGGTCCAATTTCACCACTTATCTCCAAATCTCATTGTTACAAGCATATAGCCAACAAAACCCCAATTCACATAATCATACGCCTTCTTCATGTTAAGTTTACACTACTCTTCATCTCTCTTCTTATACAATTGATCATCCACAACTTCATTAGCCACCAAAAATGTATCCATAATTCGCCGCCTTTTTACAAATGCACATTGGCTCTCCAACCACTTTACTTTACTCAACACTTTTACCATTCTCTTGTCTGATACTTTCACAATAAATTTATATACACAACCCACTAAACTTATTGGTCGGAACTCCTTAATATTTGCTGCTCCCTCCACTTTGGCAATTAATTAGTACCAAGAATATAGAATTGAGAGATTTCATTAAAAGTTTTCGCCTTATGTAGTTCCTTCAAGAGCTCCACAACGATCGTCCTTAACCAAATACCAAAATTTTTGTAAGAATCCCATGTCAAAGCCATCAGAGCCTAGGGTTTATCCTTCCTGCACTGCTTGAGAACCCCTCTTCAGAGAATTATCTTTCAAGAGACTCTGGACTCAACTCATCCAAAGTGCTAGAGTTGACACCAACTAATCAGGTTTCCATTCAAATTCTTTGCGGAACAAGTTACTGAAATATTCCCGGCTCCTTTACTCAAATTCACATTTCCCTTCACCTCCCTGTCCTCAATCTCCATTGTCTCCACATAGTTGTACTTTTATGGTTATTAACCATACAATTGAAAATTTTCATATTTCAATCCCCCTCTTTAATCCACCTCGCTTTTTTGACTTTTGTCTCCAGTCCACCTCCTACCTCTACAATCTGCTCGCTAACTCCACCATTAGTCTTTCCTTTCTAACAATATCTTATGTGGGCACTGCATCCTCTACTTCCAGATCGTTTATAAACGCAATTTCCTGAAATAATAATTGTGTATTCATGTTATTCCTCTGTTCCTCCTCTTTACAACATTTCTTTATCGCAGATTTTATTGGACTTAGTTTATGTAATAATCTGAAACTAACCTTGCCATTTACCTTATTACACTTCCACCACTCTTCAATCTTTTCATAAAAACCATTCACACTTAACTATTTATTCTCAAATCTAAATGAGCACAGACCTCAAATGATCCCATCTGAATTAAGACAAAAAGGAAAGTGGTCAAATATCATCTTCTGGAATCACTTATGGGCAGATGCTTGCAACTTGGAGATCACAACAAGTTGATACCAGGAACCTATCAATATCACAGCACATTGAACTTGTCCTCTGATTAGACCATGTCCACTTACCTCCTTTAAGGGGTAAATTTACTAGCTCCATTCTCTCAAGGATTTCATTGAATTCTTCTGCGCATATCCTTGAAAATTGGGTCCCTGTTCTTTCATATCTGTATAGCACCATATTGAAGTCCCCACCCACTACCCATAGCAAATCCCATTTCTGCTTGCATGAGTCCAAATCATTTCACAGCAAGGTTCTTTCACTCCCTTCCCCTTTTTATAAATCCCTATAAGCACCGTATGTCCCTCGCCCCTCCAATTCTCAAATAGTCAAGAAATTGAGCACCCACCCCTTATGTACTCCACACACCTAGTTCTATCCTCCTTCCACATTACCAAGATACCACCTGCCGTTCCCATAGCAAGAAATCCTTCCAACCCACCTTTTTAACTTTCCATAAGCTTTGAATGATCCTATCTTGAATGTTCTCAATTTTTCACTCCTACAACCTAATGATATCCGATTTTCATCGACTCATGCATCCTCTGATCGCTTGCCAATTCTTATGATCGTTTATGCTCCATGAAACTATTCGCCCAAACATGGATCAGGTGTTGCCTTCGGCTTCTCCACCTTTCTTACCCTCTCTCCTTACATTGTTATAATTTTATGTTGAATTGCAATTTTCTTAGCTCCTTGGACCCCTCCATTCCCTACCTTAAGGATTTTGAAATTCAAAATCCGTCAATCCTAAACTCAAACCAAGTCATCTTCCTCACCCAACTGCCCTCCTCGGTGTTGTTTCTCACCATCTCTGCATAGCTTCCCTTCTTCTCTTCCACCATTACTTTGAGCTCCGTCCGACACCTAGGGCAACATAGACGAGCCAGACCATCCTTGACCCTCAAAATCATCCTCCTCTAATTTTGTTGCTCACTTGATTTCTTTCCATGCTTGTCCACCAGCTCACATTTTCTTCCTGCAACTTGGGCAACAGTGACCATCATTCTCCACCATCCCCACCTCTCCCTTCCAGCAAGAAAATGCAGGAAACTATCTCCCCTTTCTCCTCTATAAATACCAGAAAACGCCCTCTTTTATTATGCTCTAACATCACCCACAATGAGTAATTCCTCCCCCTCTTATTTATTCCCCAGAAACGCTCTCCCATGGACCAGTAGAATTCCCTGAATACACCCAACAATCACTCAACGTCCTCTTTGTTGTAGAAGATTGAAACCCCAAATCCACGGTTATTTTTACTCAAATGTATATGCTCACCTTTCCTTCCTTCACAAACAACGTCATAGGATTTATTCTCTACAACCAAGAATTTCACGATGCGTACTCGCTGACTCCTAGTGCAGCAGCGTCAACCGCATGCGTTGCCCAACCTTTCGACATGACCACTTCTTGGTGCGGCAGTGTCAGCCGCGCACGTTCATCTCCCTTCCTTCCATCACCTAAAGTTCCTCCTCTCTACAAGTTCACTTGTAATGCAAGTGTATGGCACATAGAAACATGCATAAAATTATTAGGTACTTCATTAAATGATTATTTGCTATTAGAATATTCTATTATGAAGATAGAGTTAAATTACATAATGAATATATACAGTATTTTATCATATTATGTGAGAACATGGATCTTTTTCTCTGTAAGAAAAAGCACAAACCAAAGTGTTATTTTTATTAAATTTAGCAGAGTTTTTTGTTAATGTCTAGGGACCTTTTCGACAAAATATGGGCTCAAGTGATATTGATTCATAATTTAGAGGACATTTTTGCAAATATCCCAAGTTTTATTGACATTTGTATGTATATGTATGTGCTTGTATGTATTCTAGATAGGTCTGGCAACTAACCAAGGCATCTTATAAATTAATATTTGTTCTATTTATTTATTTGTTCTTGAAACACACAACATTCTCTATTGTCATTCTGTGTCCAAACTCGAATCACTTAATGAAAAACATGAATTATTATCTAATTGTATCAGCTTCTCGAATTGGAAAAGCACCATCAAATTATTACAGTAAGAGCATCATCCAGCATGTCTCCAAATATAGCATATAATATTAAAATTATTACTAGAACATCAAGAAAATAGTGTCTAAGTAATAAATCACTAGAATTGTAAATACATAAAAGACTGATTCTTCTCAAAATTACAAAAATAAGAGATCAACATTTGGTGACAATAATGACATGTCAACCATCATAAACATGAGGTAATCAGAAAAAAGAGCTAGATTACCCATACCTTGAACTGTGAAGACATGCCACTGCCTAATGAACCTGTAATTGGATTACCAGATTTGATATTCTGAGACTGATGTTTATCTCCAATGGATGAATCCTTTTGATTTCTTGAACAAAGCAAGAATACATCCTGGCAAGGAATTTCAATCTGAGGACTACTGGAATCATTTGTCAGTATACGCAACATACAGTTTCTCTCAATGTCGGACGATTCAAATGGAGAATCATGTAATTCATTAGGAAGCTGAGCACAAGAGATTAAAGCAACTTGGGTCAGTGTGCCAGGAAAAAGTAGCAACCCTTCTGTGTACTTGATATGGAAACGCTTCCTCTCTGCAATTTCACTGATCTTGACAATAGTCAACATGCGAGAAGCACTATTCTTCAGAGAAATGGTAATAATTGCTCCACCAAAATAAAACGTCTCGAAAAAATCAAGATAAACTGTAACAGGACCTGAAAAGCCACCAAATTTTTCTTTCTTTTCAAGATCAATTTCAAATGGAACCATAACCAACTCAGGTTGATCCTGTGAAGACCCTAGCAACTGCATACAGAATGCACCTAAAATTTTTCCTTCAGAATCCAACGGAAAATCCATCTCCATGATGGTCTCCCTGCTGCGAGGATCAATGTCCCAGTTAATATGGGGCCGCATAGCCATCAAGGGAAGACCAACTTGACCACTCTTCACAACCAACCAATCCTTCATACTAAGTGATCTAACTTCATCAGATTCCAAAAAACTGTCTGGTATACAAATAGCTTCAGTTAGGTGGAACATATTCCCCAAAGAAACAGATACCCATGCAGTAACTTCCTCCACATAGATAGTTTCATCAAGAGAATTGGACAAAGATAAATGTTTACTCAGCCAACCACTAGGAACATTCATGCTTGTTGAAGATTGAATCTCATAAGGGGACTCTACAGCAAACCCTTTGGCCTGGACAAGGAAGCCACCAAAGCTAGTCTGCAGGACCAAATGAGCTGATGACAGGCCTAACCATCTAGGTAAAAACACAAAACAAATTGAAGCTACTTCACCAGGTCCTAGCAATAGCTCAGTAAAATTGCAGGGATAAAACTGTATGTTAGTGCTATATGGTTCATAAACATGTAAAATGCTGTCATTGCAGGTATTTGACACCATTAAACATACCACCGAAGGGGAGAACAAAAACTTCTGTCCCCAGTCAAGTACAGGAGGGCTTATAGCTACATTTACTGAAGATGAAACATCAGCATCTGCTCTAACCATCTCAGACTTCTTGTTCAACCTAAAATGTGTACTCCTCTGATTTAGTAAAGGGCCTCTACATGACGAAAGTTCATTTAGATTAGCACTGCCAGCTTCAACTGATGATAATTCAGGGCTAACCTCTACGGAGTACAAAGAACAAGAAATGGCCCTGCCGTTTGACAATTCAAACACACCATAATCTGTTGACCAGTTTTGCCCAGCATAACTTGATCCTAGAGATAACAAAGTATCAGGTTGTCTCCTAGAAATTCCTACGTCAGCTGGTTCAGTTTCATGCCTTTTTGAAGCAAAATCAAATAATGTTGAGGGGAAACAGAACGACTGAGAATGAATACAAACATTCTCATCACTTAGACGGGTTACTGAACTACCTGCAACAAGGCTTCTAGAATTACCAACAGTATCATGAAAACGCACATTGAGGTTATTGCTGTAGGAGCCACATGCATCATATTCAGGTGAATTCTGCATCCCATTCATTAAGCATGGTGTGCATGTCGGCAGGCAAAGAAAGGTAAACCATAGGAATAGAATGAAATACAGTGAACAAACTGGCCATAACAACCTCCTGCAAAGATCACAAGTGAATGAAGCTACATTGAGGAGTAGACAAATAGAACAAAGCTATAAAGTGAAGGAAATTATTGCATACAGAATTTCAAAAGAAACAGAGAAGATAGAAGAAAATTAGAAATTTTTAGCTGCTGGAAGAGACGTTAACTAAACTACAAAACATGTGAAAATAGAGAAGACCAGTGTTTCATTGCAAAAGAAAAGAAGTTTTAGAATACATAATAAACTTGAATTCCAAAAATGTAACTATCTGGATATTACAGAAACAAATAGCTCGATGAAACGTGTCAATATGTTCTAAAATAACAACCAGATTGTCTTTCAAATTAGCAGCCCAACACCGAGCTGACTCTTCGCTGACGAGTATTTCCATGCCCAAAAAAAGAAAAAAAAAACTCAAGAAAAGAACTGAGAGCATGTGCAGCCTTACTGCACTCCTGTAATGCAAATGTCAAGTAAATTTTTAGTGAAAACAATGTCAAGTAAATTTTTAGTGAAAACAATGCCAAGTAAATTTGAGTTATCTAGAATTCTATAAACGTATTTATTACACATTGATATCCTCTTTGGTCTTTAAAAGGTAAATTATCTCTTAACTTTTTTCCCTAAAAGTTGTGAAAGGGTTCTCTTCCCAAGTAACCGTCATTTTACTCAACATACCAACTCAGCACAAGCCAAAACTTAACCATTAAGTAGCACCAGAGCGCCCACCACTAAACATCAGTTTAAAAAAAAAAATCATTTCCACAACAAAAACGTTAGTTCTATTGGGAACTAACTTAAAAATAGAAAACCAAAGTTCAAATAACAAAAACCACGAGCCCAGTTTTATCCAAACAAATTAAAGAATCTCTGATAATGCTCCCAAAAAAAAGCTATTTTTTTCCAATAGCAAACAATCCAAACCAAAGAAAATATAAAAAAGGTAACAAAAGATTGATCAAATTTATTAAAAGAAAATCTATTAGCCGTAAAAGAAACAAGACGACAGATAGTAACATGAGAAACAAAAAGATAAAACAAATTCTAATTTCTGAAAACACGTCTGTCGGGAATATCGAAAACGGAGGTAGATGATAAGAAATGTGAAGAAGAAAGGAGCTGAAGGTAGTAGGCTTACCGGAGATAGTAGTAGATGAACATGAAGAGCTGCTTCGGCGATATGATCGTGAGGGCCTTGAACTCCATGTCTGCTAAAAGAAGCAAAACATCTGGCTTTTTTTTTTTAGTTTAGGGTTTCAAGCTGATTTCTGGGTCCCAAAAAATGAAAAGGAAAAAAAAAAATAAAACCAGGTCACCTGATAGCAGCAAATTAATGGCTTTCAGAAACCAAACCAGGCTGATAGACACAGAAATAAAATAAATAAAAGAGGCAGACTAAGAGGGACCTTAAAATTCACAAGGAAAATCTCGAAAGTACCAAACTATCCCACTCGCTTTCACTCTCACCAACGCCGCCGTCTAAGCTAAAATATTAATAGAAGTATCCCGGTTCGGGTCGGAGCTTTTCGGGTCTAAAGGCGACGCGTTAGGTTGCGTTATACACTGAGAATGTCGGTTATAAATAAAAAATCTGTGTAAATAAAACATTTCTAATCAACTAAATTTAAAATATATTATAATTCACGTGTTAACTAACGTCGGTTATAAATTAAAAATTTTTAATAAGATTTAATAAATTTTATTTTATTTTATATTAAATATTTAAATTAGTATATAATTATTTTTTTAATTTATTTTATATATATTATGATTGAATAAATCATTTAATTTTTATAAATATGATTGAGTAAGGTAACATCTTATAAATTTAGTAATGGTCATTAAATCTTTTCTTTAATTATTGTTACCTATAATACCATCGTTAGTTAATAAAAATTATTTATCTTTTCCACTATAATTATGTTCGGATTTATAAATAAGTCTTTTAACTTCTTGAAATTAAAATGATGTATGTTGTTATTATTGAATTAATTAATGCACCGTACAATGTGGAGTATTTATTAATGAGTATTTCAATGCCATAAATATTCTTCATAATAAATAATTTTATTTTTATTAAATAAAATGATTGATCTACAACTTTAGTTATGATGTATTATAATAATTTAAATGTAACAGATTAAAATAAATGTTTTTTTTTTTTTTTTCAAAAAACAAATATCCAATCAACCGGCGTGGATAAAATGGTAATTTGAGAACAAGAAATTTCGGTTGGAATTTTGGTATGCGAATTCGTAGACTAGCAAAGATTTAATAAAAAAAAAAACGCATTTGAAAGTTCCCGCATGACGCACGACGCTATTTCCTGGGTAGGAAAAGTCTATTATACCCTCCGTTCTCGTTTGATTAGGACTTAGGCTTCGCGGTGAAACGTTTGGTAGGGGCATATTTGGGATGAAATTAATTCAACGTACGACAGGGTCCCACAATTAGTTTTGTTATATTCTTTACAAAATTTTAAATATACGTTTTAGTTTAATAAATTACAAATCTCATATATATATATATATATATATATAAGAAAAATCTATTACTGGATTTAAAAATTGAGAGGGATTTGCCAAATATTATTTTATCTTAATTAATAATCGAGATTTTGTCAATATTTTACATTAATAAAATGTATTTTTTTTTTCACCAAAATATAATTTCAACTGTCAACATCATTAATTTAGATGCATTTTCATGTTATTTATATTATTTTTTTATTTATATTATTATTTTACGTATTTTATCTTATTTTATTTATCATTTAATTAAATTTATAGTTTGTAGTTATATCATAATATACTTAAAATAAATATTTTTTATATATAATTTTATTGTTACTGGATTAAATGTAAATTTATAATAACTCATTCTATAATAACGAGTATTATAGAATCTAACCATTTTAAAGTAACTTTAGTTTAAATTAAATGGAAATTATATGCTTTTTACTCTATTTTTGTCACTCAAATAGAGTTTTTTTATAATAAAAAAAACAGTTTTATAATTTTTATATGAAAAACACATTTTAAATAGTTTATATATTTTAAATTAAATCAAACCGTAAAAAAAAATAAGATATATATATAAATTACTGTATAACTTGGGGCAATTATTTCTTAATTTTATGTTTAATGATTTTATTATACGAATACTTATTGATAAAATATCTTCCTACTTTATTATTAATGATTTAATATTTAGTATGAATCATTTAAATGATTTTAATTTTAAAATTAGATAATGATGTGCTAAACAAATATTTAGACTGAATAAACAATAGATAAAATAATCAAATTAATTTAAATATTTTTAAACTGTTCAAATTAGTTAGAAGAAATATTCAGAATATTGTATATTGCTGTTTATAATACTAGCATGTTTTTATTATCTAATATTTATTAATAATTGGATGGCATTAATTAAAAAATATATTAAATTATTTAATAACGATTGCTCGCAACAGGCATATTAAATGGAATAATGTTGAAAATTTATGGGCTCATTATTATTCTATTGGCTTTTGTTTTATATCTTTATAAATTTATTTCCTAGATTTTTTAATCACTTCTGTTAATTATGTCAACAATTTAAAAATTATTTAATTAAATTTTAAAGTACTTAATCATGATTTAACTGAATCTTTAAAATAAATAAATAAATAAATATATATATATATATATCATGCACCCCAAATTTTAGATTACAAACTTTAGGTATATATTTGAATGAATACACTTGTTAGCAAAAACATGTTAGGTCTTTAAGGCCCAACCCATTGCGACCTTGACCTTATCTTAGCAATAAATAATGGGCCCAAATCACAAAGTCCAATCAAGTAAAAATCTTCTGTAAATTTATTTTTTTAAATTATTTCTTTAATTGATGCTTGTAAGTTGTTTTTTTTTTTTTTTTTGGTTTCATACATTTTGTCTTTTAATATACAAAACTATAGTGCAAAAGGGTATGTACTTGTAAATATATATATATATACGTATATAAGATCAACTATAGAGATTTGAAAGTTAGGTGAGATTATAACAACTAATATTCTTACAGGTATGATATACATAAGAACACAATGCAATTCCACTACATCAATGATATGATTCCAGGCCACCTAAAGGTTTTTTGGTCGCATGTTAGTGCTACATTGTGTGTGTAAATATTTATGTGTGATTAATTAATTAATTAATATTTAATTACGTACTCATATGAAAATAAGAATCGTTTCCTCTACTTTATTCTTTAAAACACTGTGATAGTAATATATTAATCTCAGTAATATATTGATGTAACCCTAGTAATACGTCAATGTCTATGTAGGAAATTGATTAATTCATAAATATGCACTCTTATATAGTATGTATATACTTATTGGATCGAGCAGAATTCATTTTTTTAAATCATATTTTAATTGAATATATATATATATATATATGTAACATAAATTTAGTATAAATTTATTTTAACCACAACCTTAAATGGCTGAGAATTCGTAATCACTAAAAACAAACCCAAAAAAATTAAAATAACTTAAATGATAATAATAAATAAATTAAGCATGAGATTAGGAAACAACTGCGCGCATGCTTCAACTTGCATATTTTCTTAAGGATTAAAAAACATATAAATATTTTAAGAGCAGAAAATGGGTCAAAGACATGTTGCTCGTGATTTTGGGATTGACCTGAAAACTAACTTAACGACCAGTAAATGTCTTAGTGCACGTGGGGGCCGATCTAAATTTTAATTATTTATTTAATATGCTCCATGCAATAAGCCTTTAGGATTCCATTACGGCTCCAATTGGAGCTTTTAGATTACGCGTTTTCTTTTTTTCTTTTTTTTTTTTTTTTAAGAATATTTGATTTAGATATAAAAATATATGATGATCTATATACATACATTGAGTCTGATACCATAATCTGAGAGTAAATTTTATTTTGTTTATAATATGTGTATGTATATTTATGAGTGGGTTTGTATATATATGTATATTATATTCATGGGGAGAGTTGCAGGGGTTCAAATTATGTAAAAAAAACTGGGATCATATTCTGGTATATATTTAGATATATATAGACGATGGGTGGCAATTGACGATGGGTGGGCAATTAATGTTCTCTCGTCAACGTGTTGTGGTGGCTATTTAAAGAGCAAAATTTATTTTATCTCCTATTACTGCCGCCATTACAAATGAAAGCTTGCTCTTGCCTTTTAGTATATATCATTGTTCGTGCTTACTTGTGTAAGAAAATATATACATTTAGTTACATATATATCAATTATAATTTAATTAAAAAAAATGAAAATAGGTCAGATTTGTAAAGAAAGATAAGCACTAACTATACAGTGATTGTATTGAAATTTACAAAAATTATTGTAATAATTTAATCTAAGCAACCAAGTTCAATATTATTTTTAAGTTAAATCGTTGGATTTTTTAAGGAAAAATTATTTTTTATTTAGTTTTCTCTGAGATACCATAATGAACAACATAATTAATTTATTTCAAAGTATATAAATTTTAATTAAAAGTACCTTCATAAAAATAGTTGAAGTAGTTCATCTAAGAGTAGATGGAGTTCAGAATTAAAAGTTTGTGATATCATTAGAATCACCAAAAAAATAATAATAATTTAATTAAATGGATAATGGAGAGCTTATTATTTTAGCATCATATTTAAATCTTTTTTTTTTTACAAAAAAAAAAAAAAGAATTTCTCTACAATGATTAATTAAACTGAAAAGTTGATCTTCTTTCTTTTCAAAAAATCAAAACGTCAACATGAAATCTGAGAATACAAGTTAATGGTCGTAGTAATTAATTTGATGGAAAAAAAAAAATTTAATGCGGATTAACTATTATCATATATATCGATTCAAATTTTACTCATTAATTATAAAAATGTTGGAGATTGAGCGAGTTATATTTTTTTGAAGTAGGTATCATGGGATACGTTCTATACCCATGAAAGTCCTCTCTATGAACTCTTGCTAATACTGCCCTGTTCGTTTTGTTTTCCTTTTCTGGAAATAGTTAATAGTGGTCTGTTCATCAGGCTGCTGCGGGAACGGGAAAATATTCATAATAGAATTACATATTTTACATAGTCGTAAAAAAATATACATAGCTACATAATTTTTCAGGAGAAGAAAGTCAAACCGCCGCCAAAATATAAAAGAACCATAGAGAGAGAAGAAGAAGAAGAAGAAGAAGAAGAAGAAGAAGAAGAAGAAGAAGAAGAAGAAGAAGAAGAAGTAGAAGAAAAGGAAGAGTTAAATTGATTCAGTTTCCAATGGAGTGACCAACGCCGGGACTGTGGCCCGGCGTCGTTGGTCGAAAATCATCAACATATTCATCCTTAGTACTCCACCTTTGTTGCTCGGAACCAGCGCCATCGTTGACATGTACAGGTCCCGCGCCGTTTGCCGG